TCTGTAACTTCTAGTCTGATTCTGCCCTCTAATTTTGCCTTTAAGGATAATACCTTAATACTTAATAACAATCCTTTTTCTGGGCTATCATGTTCATAGATGTTTAACAACTACAAAATCGAGTTAACATTTTGCTTATCCATTGATTAGATGATCCTTAATATTCAGTTTCCTAGAATACCTATAAAGTCACCAAAAAAAGGCTTTTAGGGAAAAGATCAAATAAGGGAGATAGGACCACCCAGAAATGCCATAATGGTAATGGATAAGAGAAGGCAGAACTATTCATTTTTAAAATTTTGCTTCTGACTCTGCCAAGAGAAATAACAGAACAAAATGGTTAATAGAGTTGAAACCTAACATGAGTAAGGATGTAGTAAGAGAGTACCTGGCAGGTGTGAATTCAAGCCAACCAGACATCACGAGCATTCCTGAGTGCCTACTGTGTGCCAGGTCTGTGCTAAGCACTGTGGACACTGATGGACACAGTGCTGAACCACTGCCTGTGATCTTTGAGAGATTATGGTGAACAGGAGAGGCGTGATAGGACTGGAAAGGTAAAATGTCCTGATACTCAAAAAGAGAGGAGAGTGAAATCTGCAAATAGTAAGCTGGTATACTTAGCTTCAGTTTCTAGAAAAATATAGCCATTGTAGATCACTTAAAAATGTTATTTTTTTTTTTTACATTTTACATTCTGAGTTGTCTCCCTCCCAACCCCAAAGGCTAACATTTGATATGCCTATATATGTGGAGCCATCCAATACATACTTCCATATATCACTTCTTTCTCTGAAGGTGGATAGCATTTTCATTCTTAAGTCCTTCATAGTTTATTTTAATTATCATATAATTCAGGAAAGCTTAATCATTCCCAATTTTTCTTCGAACAATATTGCTATTACTGTATCCAAAGTTCTCTTGGCTCTGCATTATTTCATGCAAATCTTTCCATGCTTTTCTAAACCCAACCTGCTCATCATTTCTTACAGCAGAGTAGTATTCCCTCACAATCATATACCACAACTTATTCAGCCATTCTCCAGTTGATAGGTATCCCCTCACTTTCTAGTTCTTTGCCACCACAAAGAAAGCTGCTATAAATATTTTAGGATGTATGTGTTTCAGCTACAAAGGACCTATAAAGAAAGATGCTCTCTACCTCCGGAGAAAGAACTGGTATATGGAACCATGTATTTTATAGTTTCACATGTATATCTGTGTCAGATGTTGGCTGGCTCTAGTGTGGGGTTGAGAAGGAAGGAGGGAGGAAAACAGCTTGGAACTCAAATGTAATAAAAAAAAATTAAATTAAAAAAAAGAACATATAGGTACTTTTCCTTTTTTCCCCTGGTCACCTAATAATGGTATTGCTGGGTCAAAGGGCATACACACTTTTATAACTCTTTGGGCGTGATTCCAGTTTGCTCTCCAGAATGGTTGGATCAGTTCACAGTTCTATCAACAGTGTATTAGTGTCCCAATTTTTCCACATCCCCTCCAATATTTGTCATTTTCTCCTGTCATTTTAGCCAATCCAATAGGTATGAGATGATAACCTCAGAGTTGTTTTAATTTGTATTTCTCTAATCAATAATGATTTAGAGCATTTTTTCATATAACTATATATAGCTTTGATTTCTTTTTCCAAAAACTGCCTATTCATATCCTTTGACCATTTATTAATTGAGGAATGCTTCATATCCTTATAAATTTGACTCAGTTCTGTATATATTTGAAATATGAGGCTTTTATTGGAGAAACTGACTATATAAATTTTTCCCCTAATTTTCTGCTTTCCTGTAGAGCACATTTTTTTTAGAGCACATTTTAAAAGGTATTATTTGTGGTGGTTTAACAAAGGAAGTCGTGGCATTGATCAAGTTCAGCATGGCTTTGTCAACAATAGGTCATTTCAGGCCAGTATTTTCTTTTATGACTGGGTTACTAGACTGGTAGAGACTGGATTAAACCAAGAATGCAGATTGGGTCGACATTAGGAAGACTGTAAAGATAATAGACTATGTTGATAACAAAACTAATAAAATCATATTACATCAATAGATACACAAAGAGCATTTGACAAGTACATTTATTTATGTTAAAGACACTAGAAAGCTTAGAAATAAATGGATTTTTCCTTAATATATTAAAAATATCTATTAAAGCCCAAGAATTAGTATTATTTGAAATGGAGTCCCTGATTAGAACAGCAGTGGGGAAAAAACACTACTTAGCGGTATGGAAAATAGTAAATACAAGAATTACAGAAGAAAAGTTTTACAGCCTTGGTGTCATCCTTGCCCTCTCACTCTTGCTTACCACACACATCTTAAATCAGTTGCCAAATCTTGTAGTTTTATACCTTTACAACATCTTCTGCTTTATTTGTATCTCTCCTTTCTCTCTACCCATGGTCATCATTACCTCTTATTTGGGCTATTGCAGTAGCCTTCTAACTGGTGTCTTTTCTGTCCCTACTGCAGTCCATCCTCCCCTGAGCTGCTAAGGTTGCTTTTCTAATGCATTGGTCTCATTTAATTAGCTCCCTGCTCATTGAGCACCACTGGTTCCTTGTTACTTCCAAGATCAAATATAAGCTCTTTTGTTTGACATGTAGAGCTCTTCTGATCCTGGGCCCTTCATAAGAAGCCTCTATTCTCCTTACACGTCATTCTCCATCACAGACTTCCTGATGTAGCGATACTGGCCCACTTAAACACTCCTCTTGATTCTGTGCCTGGATGCAAGTGGTCTCCCTGGCCTTGAATGTTCTGTCTCCCTTTTCTCCCCCTCCTGTCCACCCTGGCTTCCTTCAGGACTCAGCTCAAATCCAGTCAAGCTTAAAGAGACCCTTCCCTAAGAAATCACTATTTAACAAAAACTGCTGGGAAAACTGGAAAAATGTATGGCAAAAACTGGGCATAGACCAACGTCTTACACCCCGTATCAAGATAAATCAAAATGGGTATAGGATTTAGATATAAAGACTGATACTGTAAGCAGAGTAGAAGAGCCAAGAATAGTTTACCTTTCAGATCTATGGAGAAGGGAAGAATTTATGACCAAACAAGAGATAGAGAACATTATGAAATGCAAAATGGATAATTTTGATTACATTAAATTCAAAAGTTTTTGCACAAACAAAGCCAAGGCATCCAAGATTAGGAGGGAAGCAGAAAACTGGGAAAGAGTTTTTACAACCAGTGTCTCTGATAAAAGCCTTATTTACAAAATGTATAGAGAACTCAGTCAAATTTATAAGAATACAAGTCATTCCTCAGTTGACAAATGGTCAAAGGATATGAACAGGCAGTTTTCAGAGGAAGAAACTGTAGCTATCTATAGTCATATGAAAAAATGTTCTAAGTCACTGTTGATTAGAGAAATGCAAATCAAAATGACTCTAAGGTACCACATCACACCTATCAGATTGGCTAACATGACAAAACAGGAGAATGATAAATGTTAGAGAAGATGTGGGAAAATTGGAACACTAATGCATTGTTGATAGAGTTGTGAACTGTTCCAGTCATTTTGGAGAGCAATTTGGAACTATGCTCAAAGGGCTATAAAATTGTGCATACCCTTTGACCCAACAATACCACTTATAGGTCTATATCCCAAAGAGATCATAAAAATGGGAAAAGGACCCACATGTACAAAAATGTTTATAGCAGCTCTTTTTGTGGTGGCCAAGAATTGGAAATTGGGGGGATGCCTATCAATTGGGGAATGGCTGAATAAGTTGTGATATATGAATGTAATGGAATATGTGCCATAAGAAATGATGAGCAGGCAGACTTCAGAAAAACCTGGAAAGACTTGCATGGACTGAGGCTGAGTGAAATGAGCAGAACCAGGAGAACGTTGTACACAATAATAGCCACACTGTGCGATGACTGACTTTGATAGACTTGGCTGTTCTCAGCAATGCAAGAATCTAAGACAGCTCCAAAAGACTCACGATAGAAATTGCTCTCCACACCCAGAGAAAGAACTATGGAGTCGGATTGCAGATGGAAGCAGACTATTTGCTCTCCCTTTCCTTTGTTGTTTTGTTTTATTGCTTCATTCTTTTGGTCCTCCCATTTGTTCTAATTGTTCTTTACAGCATGACTAATGGGAAGATACACTTAATATGAATGTATAAGTAGAACCTGTATCAGATTGCATGCCATCTTGGGGAAGGGGAGAGGAGTGGGAGGGGGAGAAAATTTAAAACTCAAAATCTTATGGAAGTGAATGCTGAGAACTAAAAATAAATTAATTAATTATCAAGGGGGAAAAAAAGAGGCCCTTCCTAGTCCCCTAGCTGCTAATGCTCTGCCCTTTCAAATTGCCTTCCATCTCCTCTGTATCTGTCTTGTATGTACCTAATTATTTATGTTGTCTCTCCATTAGCATGTGAGCTTTTTAAAGATAGGTGCCACATGTTTGCCCTTCTTTGTATCCACCTGGCACAGTGCCAGGTATATAAATAATAGCACCAACTAGGATCTGTGAGTGTTTTAAAGTTTGCAGATGTTCTCAAATCAACCTTGGGATCCAGGTACTATTATTATCCCTCATTTTACAAATGAGGAAACTGAGGCAGGCAGATGTTAAATGACTTGTCCAAGGTCACACAGTAAGTTTGAGACCAGATTTGAACCCAGGCCTTCCTGACTCCAAGTCCACGGTTTTGTCCACCGCCTCCTTGCTGCCTGTGGTAAACACTTAATAAATTTTTTGTTGCTTGACTGATTATAGTGGTGAGAATTGTAGACTGAATCCCATCTGAGATGCTTACTGTATGTGTGACTGGGGCAAGTCACTTTACCTGTTAGAGCCTTAGTTTCCATATGTGTAAAACCGGAGGGTGTAATTGAGATGGTCTCTAAATGACCTTCTAGGTCTAAATCCTATGATAATAACATTGATTCCAAATGAATCAGAAAGTAGCTGCTGAATATTGTCTTTTCTACTAATAACGAGGTGTAACATTCTTGCTGTTTTAGGAGCCATCCTTGATCGGCGAGCGTGAGGAGTGAGGCCCTAGTAAAGAGATGAATTGGTGAAGCCAGGATGAAGCTGCTACCGGGCGTCGGAGTGTTTGGGACTGGCAGCTCTGCTCGGGTTCTGGTCCCGTTGCTGAGAGCTGAAGGCTTCACCATTGAGGCACTGTGGGGCAAGACTGAAGAGGAGGCAAAGCAGCTTGCTGAAGAGATGAGCATTTCTTTCTACACCAGCCGGACAGACGATGTATTGCTGCACCAGGACGTGGATCTGGTTTGCATCAACATCCCCCCTCCACTCACTCGACAGATAGCTGTGAAAGCTCTAGGTACAGTGAGGTTTATCTGTCAGGCCACCAAAAAAGGCATAGATTGATTTTAATTATTTCTTTTTCAGTGCTTGAAACATTACCAGACACCTTAACGGGTATATGTACAGATTGTCAACCAGCATGCCCTAGTTTCCTTCTCAATCCAAAATCTTCAGTAGTAGTAACTGGTGTTTACACAGCTCTTCAAGGCTTACAAACCACTTTCCTAAACATAACCTTGGATAGTACTAGTATTGTTTATCCCTGTTTTATAGATGAGGAAGCTGAGATTCACAGAAATTAAGTAATGAGGACATAAAGCTGGATTTTAAAGCTGAGTCTCCTTACTACAGTTCAGCTTATTTTCCCCTCCCTTTCAGTCAGTGTGAAAATGTAAGTGAGCCAGTGATCTAGAACATATCCCCCTGGGGTGTATCAGGATGATATAAGAACTTCAGCTGCACTTCTGCCTTTTAGAAGGGTGCCATTGCTTGAAGTAAGTACGTTTGTCTTGCCACTAAAGTCCTGGGCTGGAAAATGTTCATGAGAAAACATTCCCCCTCAATAAGGCTGTGCCCTATAGGTTAGATAATCTGTATTCTCTGTGACTTCGTGGAGCCTCAGAGCTAGAAATGACCTTAGGGTTAATTTAGTCCTAATATCACATCACCTAGGAAGTGGCAATGCTGGGGGTAGATATGAGATCTAAAAGGGATCTCAGAAGCCGCTCCTGGGATTTACTTTTTGAAATAATGCTCTGTTTTATTTTCTGGTTTGAATTCTCTCCCTCCCAACCTCTTCTTCCCTCTCCACTCTCCTCCTTCATTGAGAAACAGGAATAACAAAGCACATTACAGAAGCCAATAGGCACCATTTGCCATGTCCAGAAAAAGCCCCCCAAAACCACGAGCCTCAGTCTGAACCCCTCACCTCCCTATTTGGAGTAGGTAGCATGTTTCATCACACTCATAAAGGTCAGATAGTGCAGGAAGAGACCTTGATGAACATCTAGTCCAACCTTCTCATTTTGCAGTTGGGAAAACTGGAGCCTACAGAGATCATTACATGACCAAGGTAGAGCCAGGATTTGAACCTGGAACCCTTGACCCCAAAGCCAGTTCTCTTTTTGTGCTGCCTCAATACTAGAGCTACTGTCTTCTGATTCCGAGGCTCCTGTTGTTTCCATGTAGATTGGCTAAAAACAAGTGTAAGTCACAAAGATCTCCAGTTATTGACAGTGCAGTTTGTAATGCAAAAGGCAGTTTAAGCAAAGGCTGATCCAAGGACCCTTTTAACCCAGTGTGTTATGTACTTACTATGTGCCTTTCATTGTGCTAAGGACTGGGACAGTTTTTGTGGTTGTAGTTGTTCAGTCACATCTGACTCTTCATGGTCCCATTTGGGGTTTTCTTGGCAAAGATACTGGGGTGGTTTGCCATTTCCTTCTCCAGCTCATTTTACAGATGAGAAACTGAGGCAAACAGGGTTAAGTGATTTGCCCAGGGTCACACTGCTAGTTAAGTATCTAGGGCTGGATTTGAACTCAAGAGGATCAGTCTTCCTGATTCCAAGCCCTATCCAGGCTGTAACCACTATCCACCTAGGTGCCTAAGGACTGGGGCAAAGGAAAGGTGAAAACATGGTCTTTGTCCTTGAGGAGCTCACATTCTAATAGGGAAGACAAAATGCAGATAACTGTATAGATATCATGTATGTAGTCTATCTCAACTTTGAGATTCTGTGCAACTATGCCTTTAGCGGTTTTGTTGTCCCGCTTCTGATTTCTGCTCCATATTGCTGAATTCAGTGGCCTGATGGCTGGTGGTCATTATCATAGTTGGCACATATGTATTTCCATTTCTATATCCTGAAGCACCGTAGACACTATTGCTCAGTGTTAGTAAATACCATTGTTTAACAAAGATGTTATTATAAGCAAATTTCACTGTTTTATGTCCTGAGGACACAAAATCCCCAGCAGACTCTGGGAGAATGGCCTTGCCAGTTCATTGATGTCTTACTTTCAACCTCTAAAACAGATCAGAGACACAGTGATATTCTATCATACATTGATCTGGGGCCTGCAGAACTTTTTAAAATTGCTTCCTAAAGTTCCTGTAATAAGAAATAAAGTTAAATCAGTACCTATTGTGTATCTGCTGTGAGTAAGGCCCATGAGGCAGGCACTTGGGGGATGTACAATGAAGTAAAAAAACCAGTCCCTATCTCAAGGAGTTTGCCATCTCATTGGAGGGAACCAAGGAACAAAAGGCATGAAAACTGAAGTGATACTATAGTAGAGCTGTCAATGCATTAGTTAACTTTTCTTGAATTGTTTATTTCTCTCTTTTTTTTTAAATCTTTGTTATAAAGAATGACACTGGGAGAAGAGGCAAAATATTTGGAAATAAAGGTGATCTCAAAACAAAAGATCAGTAAAAATAAGATTTAAAAAGGTAGAAGGGATGTCCTGAGGTAGTATGTTATTGTCAAATTTTATAGATAGTGACTACTTAGATTCAAAAATTTTCTTTTACAAATTTCTAAGACTCTCAGAATTTAATTTTCAGAACATTCTGAAGATGACACTCCTGTCCTACAAGCTAATGTTGCCTTTATTCTGGGTGCTATTCCTGTTTGTTTGGGGTTTTTTTTGCTTTTAGGCAATTGGGGTTAAGTGACTTGCCCAGGGTCACACAGCTAGTAAGTGTCAAGTGTTTGGTCTGAGGCCAGATTTGAACTGAGGTCCTCCTGACTTCAGGGCCGATGCTAGCCCCTTCTGGGTGCTATTTCTAAGCATCCAGGGACTAAAAGAGTAAAGTCACAAGGTAGTGGCGCTTACGTATGGGGTCCTCTGCTTGGCTCTGGGAATATGAAGATGAAAAACAACAGGGAACTCGAAGATGTGGTCATCTGGGAAGCTAGGGAAGTTAGAGGTGTAGTGCAGTGTGTAGAGGAATCAAAACAAAGTACTCTAGGAAAAGGTTTTTGTCCGGAGGAGAAGATTCCCCTGAGGGGGTCGGGACAACGTCGTTGTGGAGGGGGCACCTGAGCTGAGACATGAAGGAAAAGGAAGCTCCGGAGTCAGTCTGTGCTCCTGCGTGCACTTGAATTGAGAAAACACACACACACACACACACACACACACACACACAAAACCATGTCACTGAGGTGGGAGGTGGCAGGTCAAGATAGGAACTAACTGACCCAATTTGGTTAGAGCCACAGGGTGTGAAGGGCAGTAGTATGAAACAAGGCCAGAGAGGGAGGTGGAAACCAGATGGAGGAGCCTCAGATGCCAGAATGTGGAGCCGATAGTTTGTCCTGTATGTCATAGGGAGCCACTGTACCTGGTGACTTCAGTAGGCCAGGTGAGTTTACAAAGTAGCAGTAGGATTAAGAATCAGAGGACCTGAGTTTGAAGTAAGACTCTGCTGCTTGGTGTGGTCTTGAGCAAGTCACTTCCCTTCTGAGCCTCAGTTTCCTCATATGTAGAATGGGGAGATTTAACCAGCGTTTCTTGAAATGTGGGTTGCAACCCACAGTTTAAGAAGTGCTGAAGGGGTTGTGAGTGGAAAAAGTTTAAGAAGCCCTGGACTAGACAATAAAGTCTGTAATTCTTTCTACCTCTAACAATAAAATAATTTGTTGACATGGCTAATTTTATTTCACATTGTTTAAGTGCAGTCTAGCACAGATGAAGTCAGTAGTTCAATCAGAGACACAGCTCAAGAGCTTCCCATTTTCCTGGCCGCCTTTTAGGACTATAGTGACTGTGGCACTGTGCTAGGTGACAGAATTCCCCAGTAATCTTTGGTCAGGTGCCTTCTGTTCTTGGTGTGTAAGAATTCTGCAATTTTGGCCCATTTAGGTAAACAGGAAGTAGGAAAAAAGAACAAAGGTATCTGAGAGCTTATATAGTAGTTCTATGTATTTTTTTTCCTTCTCCAAAAAAATCTTCTCTCAGGAAGTGAATGTACTAGAAACCACTTTCAGAATATGCTTTGTACCTTAGTGACCTGGCTACTAATACTAGTTAACTCTAGTCTGTGACTGTAAGGTTTTTTCAGTGTTTCTTTCAGTTTATCTTGACCTAGTCAGCTTAGCTGTGGTCAGACAGCCCAGGTAAATTAGTTTTAAAAATTTCATCCACAGTATTGCCATAGCAGTAGTCTGGTGGACCAAGCACTAGACTGGTCTAGGGGTCAGAAGACTGTGTCTCTATGCTTTCTGCTCTGTCACAAGCATGGCAAGTCACCCACTGTAGGTCTCAAGTTCTTTGCATATAAAATGAACATAACAATAATTGTCCCTCCCTAATTAACCAGGCTGTTGTTAAAGAGAAAGGAGTTAATAGATGACTGAACTTTGAACTCTTTGGAAGGAAGGCACCAGTGTCATCATAAAATAGAACAGCTGTCTTCTGCTCTGCCAAGCTAGACTGGTCTGGAAATCAGATAACCAGCGTTTTGAGTTTGGGCTCTGACCCATACTAGCAGTGTGGCCCTGGGCAAGTCAGGTCACTTATCTGAGCCCCAGTTTCCTAAACTATAAAGTGGTTAGTAGTAACATCTCTTAAAGCAGTGAGGAGCAGTGGAGGTTAAAGTAGGTTCAAGAAAGCTTACCAAGAGAGCCAGCTTAGTTGAGTCATCCCCAGGGCCTTCGGGGATGGACATGGAAAGAGGACTACAAATGGGAGAAAAATGGAAAAGATGTTCAAAATGCATCTACATGGACTTTTTTCCATCAAGGCCAATAGAACCTCCATACTTGGATCCTGACATCACTGTCCCTGAATCACTTACAGAGGTGTTAGAAATGACAAGAAAGATAATACAGGTGGGGAAAACAGCTTAGGTGCACAATGAGAACAGTCTGTTATTATCCCCATTTTACGGATGAGGAAACAGGCCCACACAGGATCACATGGCTAGTACACATCTGAGACAAGGATTTGAACTCAGCTCTTCCTGACTACATTTCTGTATAGAGGAAATACATTTGTAAACACACCGAGG